GCAGTTGATCCAAATGATAACACGAATAGACATTGCACATGTAATGAGGGCTATTCGATCATGCAACTGCAAAAAAGAACAACTTAAAGATTCAGTCACAAAGAACTTACTCGAATAGATGAAACACGGTCCTCCAGAACGCAACAACATAGTAAAAAATGTCTCGTGGTAAATTATTGGCTTTGCTTTCAACAACTTTGAATGCGAAAAGGAGTCGTTTACTATAAATGGAAACAACTAATAATGAGAAATAGTTTTTTATCGTTCTGGAGGGTCCAATTAAAGAAGATTTAGAGGTATGTCTCAAATCAGTACTTGTAGCGCATCCCAGAATGCACCGCACAGTCGAATAAGGTTTTTATTATTATGAAATCAGAAATGACGTGGCTTCTTGTATATCTTGTTGTCAGCAGTGTACTTATAACAAGAAAATCAGGAAAGCCGTGAACTGACGCAAAACTATCAGACTGAGCACCAATAGACCGCATACAGGTAAATATAATCGGATCATTTCCAAAATCACACCCAGGAAGTAAAAATATTTTGGTTCTTGAGGACAAGTTCACAAAATGAACCGAGGCCTATCCGTTAGGTGACCAAACAGCTGAAACCGTTGGAGAAACAGTGGTCAGAGAATTCTTCTCTCCTTTTTGGAAAACCGTAAGAGATCCACACGGATCAAGGTAAAAATTTCGATTGAGGCTTAAAGCGACAACTCGGATAACTACTTTGATGGGCAAAAACAAGACAACATCTTACCACCCTAGTTCAAACAGGTTAGTTGAAAAATTTAACAGGATCTTATTACAAATGATTAGATGTTTTGTCAGTCAAAGCCAAGATAATTGGGATGAACATTTTTAGTTATCATATCGGAGTACACCTCACACAAACACTGGACTGACACCTAACAGACTTATATTGAGCCGTGAAGTACACCTTACGCAACAACGTATTCTTAGAATGCAAGAGAAATTAAATGGTGACTACGAAGACTACGTTGACAGATTATCTTCTTCTTTACAGAAATGCCACGAATTTACAAGAACGTCCTTAAAAATCATCAGAACACAAGCACGACTACATGATTTCAGGTAACATGAAAATACGTTTGAAACAGCAGATCTTGTGTACGCTAAAGACACGGCAAAGAAATAAGGAAAAGCCTAAAGCTTCAACCTCATTGGAAGGGAAATTATGTGGTGAACAAACGTCTACGAAAGTTTTTATGAAATCGGTAATCAAAAGACAACAACCGTTTTGCACCATGATAGACTTATGTCAGCTTTTTTGGAATCAGTACCTCCTTTAGTATCTCGCCAGCGAAGAAAGCTTAAACACATTGAAGCGGATGTGCTAAATATTCCAGAAACGGAAACTTGCTTACAAAAAATTCCTGAATATGAAGTATTGGACTTGTACGCGGAAAGTGTGATTAATTCAAATGTTACACCTGGGCCGAGGACACAGGCCCCAGACTCAGGTGAGACTTCGAATAAGCAATCACAGGAATGCGTTGCCATAATTTCAGGTGATAATGATTCGTTTACCGACGATGAATCTGATATTTCAAGGAAACCAAATTCAGGATTGGAAGTCTAAACCATTAGTGCATTTGATCAGACTATACAGAATTTGGATCCAGCGTCAACATAATCGAAAGTACAATCAAGGATCCAGCAATACAAGATGCAGAATCAGAAAATAAGGAGTTAATATCACTTGATTCGAGGACACAGAGTCCAGTCTCAGGTGGTATTTTGCATGATGTTAAATTTAACAAGAAGACAGAGTCTCTCAATGCTTGATGCCTTAAGTACAGCGGTTACAAAAAAGACTAATAACAATTCAGATTCCAGTGAGTCGAGGACACAGGCTCCAGGATCAAATAGGAATCATCAGATGACTGAAGAAGGACATCAACCTAAAACCAGTAGATAAGGACGAAAAATACACCAACCGTTGCGTTTCAAAGATGGACAATAAACATACGTGCAAACATTAGAGACATTCCTATTGAGAACTTACTTTAACAAATTATAAAGAAAGGAGGAAAGGGGGAAAGTGTAATGATTATTGAGTTCGGGATTGCAAAACTAGTTTGGATGTTGTTTGTTCTTTCAATAAAGTTTGAGTTTGCAGACGTCTTTGTTGTCGTAGCCAAACTTTTGTTGATATCTGCTATTTGTGGTACCACGTAATTACAAAAGTGCTTTAGGCATTACAATATGTTGCAATATAAGTATTGTTTGACCAGTGGTTTCATGCCAATGATGCGGAAATGTATACAACGATTTGAACGATCAAAATCATTAAAATGTATGGCATCTTTACAGTATGGCAGGCTTAAAAGTGTGACGAGTCTATAAACATTATGGAATCATCTTACAGAGATTTAAAGGTTCTGTCTTTAATATCAAATATTATTAGAATAACAATATAATAAAAGTCAACAACTCATGATGTTCCTAAATTGATCCGAGCACATTCGCGAAAGACACTTAAGAAACAATAAAAATTCATAAGTTAAAGAGACACTAACAAGTCATGGCAAAGACGAAAAAACACGAAAAGACAAGCATAAGTTTACAAAATACTGCACAAAAAAAGCTTAGCGACACGAATACAGCTCAACACCGGGAGTGAACGCATTTCCTCGATGTGTCAACTCATGTGCTCTGATAAATATAAGAAGATGTGGTATGAGTGCTAATGAGACAACTCTCCATTCAAGTCACACTTTGTAAAAGTAAACCATTATAGGTCAAAGTACGGCCTTCAACACAGAGCCTTGGCTCACACCGAACAGCAAGCTTTAAAGGCCCCAAAAATGACAGTAAAACCAACGGTATAATCTATATGAAAAACGAGAAACGAGAAAAACTTACGAACCACATCAACACACGACAACCACTGAACATCAGGTTCCTGACTTAGGACAGGTGCAAACAAATGCAGCAGGTTTAAAAGTTTTAATAGACGCCAACCTTCACCCTACCTGAAACAATAGTGTAACATCACAACATAGAAAGACACACTATAAAATATCAATTGAAATGGCTTAACTCAATCAAAAGACATATTAACAAACACAAGTGAACAAACACTGAACGAATAAATTTGATCTATGACACAACTTAATACAAAATTAATAAAACAAAGGGTTAAATGTAAAAACAATTTCAGAAAGATAACCATAACCTTCGACAAAATGACGCCATAAAATAACGTACACAGGTAAATAAAAATAATTTTGTTGTAAGGTATACATGGAGTACGGAAATAATTTTTACAAAATAAATAATTTTGTTGTTCATAGTACAAGAATAGAAGTGAAAATTAAAAAGTGAGACGAGATATATCACTACATAAGTAAACATTAAATAACAAAAATACATTACAAATTGTATCACCAGGTCAAATTAACACGAAAGTGCGATTTGAGAGTACTCGCAGTTACTTAAATCTAGTATCAGAGACTAAAAACCAACTAAAACACACCCCAGGGATTAAGTGTTTTAAAGACATGGACAGTCAAAGAAGAAATGACTTGTGCAATGCCAAAATAAAGGTATCGACGGGCAGTAGGATAGTTAGGAGTTAACCTTTTAATAAATATGTATAATCTTATATATGGATAGAGTAATCTCTATATAGAAAATGAACGTGAATGTGTATTTATACATCCCAATAAAACGTTTGTAAGAATACAAATTTAGTTATGTTTCAAGTTGCTGATGACAAAATCGATATGTGTGCCAATGTAAACTATATTCAAAGATCTAATTAAAACATTGGTAAGATAACTTTTACTAATAAGTTTGTATACTAATACACGGATCGCATAGTGATATCTGCGCTTTTAGTACAATATTACCGTAAAATTTAGGAAGTGAAATACTGTTTTTAATAAGTTTTCTACAGAAACAGCTAAACTTACTAATCAATTATTTGTATCTATGAAAGAATTTAGCAAAGGTTTTAAGTAATTTATGGTATTTAAATCCCTGATTTGATAATTTACCAGTGATGCATTGATTACGTTCGTTAAAATATATGACATCACTACACACACGGGCATAACGAACGAGTTGGGATTTATAAACACCGTATGATGCAGCCAAAGGAACATCGTCGTCTAAAAAAAGAAAACCAACAATAGGGAATGAAAAATCGTCTCTTTTGTCGTAAATTTTAGTATGGAGTTTCCCTTAAGGAATTGAAATGTCTAAATCTAGAAAAGGACAACTACTGCTATTTATGTTAGACTTGTTTAAAGTAAGTTCCTATGGGTAAATTTTGGTAGTATATTTAGAGAACTCTGGATTATTTAACGTAAAATATCATCGAGATAACGGTAGGTATTGTTGAATGTATCAACCAAATATAACAATGACGTGTCTTTATTGAGTTTGGTTATAAACTGAGATTCAAAGCAATACTAGAATTAATCTGCTATCAAAGGGACATAGTTAGTGCCCATAGGAATACCTATTACCTGTATATACACTTTATGACCGAAACGTACATATATGGTGTCTAGGAGAAAATTTAAATCTTCAATCATATCTTCACATTTCCAGTAAGTGTATCTAGCATACTTTCCTTTTTCGTTACAGAAAAAGGCTTGAAAGTAGTTACAGCAAATAAATGTGCATAGAGATTTTCAAAAGACCATTTAATTAAATATGAAAACTTTTTCTTGATAAAATGGTGTGGAAGTGTAGTGTAGAAAGTAGAAAAATCATAGCTGTCAACAGAATTAAAAGGACCATCACAAGGAAGTATTTTATCTAAAACCTCTAAAGAATTTTTAACATTCCAGATATAATTAATATTATTATTTTCATAATAATTTCTGATAGGTTCATTCTACTCCACATGCGTGATATATATACTCCTATACAATACATTGGTAAGATATATCAAGTCATATACTCTTTTCCTCTTTCAATTACGATCAAGAGGTATTGAACAATCACAATTACGAATATAAATACCTGACTTAAGGAGGCTGTTTATTGGATTTCCATTTATTTCTATTTCACAAATAACCAAGTTTACCGTATCACGGCGTTTAATCCGGACAATTCTCCCTTTTGTGTTAGGAGGGCAATTTATAGTGATGTTCTGGCTTTCAGTGGCTTGGTAGTGGCAGTGATATATATTTCCCTCATCCAAATTATTCCACCGGTTGCATGTACATGTTGGCATAATGACTTCAACATCAAAGTTCACTAGATGGTTAGCTGTTTGAAAATAAGAAGTTTATCAAGTTAGTTATGAGCATTAATTGTATTACAGTAACTGTTAATTCAGAAATTACTGTGACGTTTTCATTAATGCGAATAACGAACTAGTTTATTGTCACTTTAAGGAAAACTCGCATTAATATATAATATACATATATATCTGTATATATATATGTCATGAAATCGTAATAATTAATCTCGTATTTCTGTTCATTTTTCAAAAATCTGCGGTATTAAATGCAAGCAATAATTTCTGATTTACAGTATATTACATCATTGCGAAAAAGTCGAAGTAAAATAGTGTTAACTAGTAGAACGTTTAATGTGAAGTGTTCTTCTTTTCTTTTATATCTTTAACTTGTTTTCACTTTGTGATTTATGTCGTCCCTTTTTGATTGTCTAAATTATTTATTTGATAGAGAACAAAATTAACATAACCTGCAGGATAAAAAAATGACATACACATGCTTAACATCCTAGTTTTGTGCATGTTTATAGTTCGAGAAAAAGCAGTCGCATATTCCATATCTGCTATTCTATTACGAAGAAAAATGTTCACTTATTACAAATTCAAAGATGCATCAGTGCTCCACATGATGCCATTCATTTTTAGTTTAACATGTAATAAAATTGAGAATGGAAATTGGGAATGTGTCAAAGAGACAACAACCCGACCATAGAGCAGACAATAGCCGAAGGCCACCAATGGGTCTTTAATGCAGCGAGAACTCTTTCAAGTCATTAGTACTGTGGATTCATTATTATTCGTGGGATACTAATTTCCGTGCATTTCGTTATTGGAATATTGAATGTTGAACGCAATATAACTTTGCTTTAGCTTTTCCAGCAAACTTTTGCAAAATCAAGAAATCAAACATTCCCGAAATATAATTGTTTCTCAATCCTTGAAAATTGGTACCTAAGAAAATGAATGAGAAAACAGTATCTGAATGAAAATAGCTATACTCTACTAAACGTAGATTTGTTCCATTAATCATACAAATCACAATTAATAGCTACAATCTATCATACTCCTGCAATACACCATTTGAGAACTCTTTTCAAAAAGACATACAAATACAAAATCAAAAACACCATCAAAGACCGGGATTGATCTCTTTTGCACCAGAAGAGTAAGCGAGTCCTGCTTTACATGTTACATCCGTGGTGTTACTCATATAAATAAGTTGTTAAGATACATCATGTGATAAGCGTTAATCTTCTAATTATAAAAAATACTCTTATCCTCTTTAACATACCCTTATAAAAAACGACATCTTATGCGTCAATTTTTAAAAGTTAGTAATGAGGATTTCTCATTGAAAAACTTAAAAAAAAACAATTCATTACGACACAATTTATTTGGCAAATTGTTTTTCTTTACGGTAATGTCCGTTTGGTTTACTGTGTTATTTACATTTGTCAAGTGTTATATATGTACATCTTGTAGTCATTTCTCACATCTTGAGATGAAGTATTTTCATAACTTAACACCATTACACCCGGACTATAAATAACAATAAAAAGGTAAAACCTTGTAATTAATCATATCAAATATTTGCAGAAATTATGTGTTTACCTAGGATTACGCTTAGGCTTACAAGTAACAAAGGTAACGATGAACAAAGGGGTCATCTCCAAGTATTTAAGAACTTTGATCAGCTTTTAGAAGTTGGATTCTGAATTTCAATTCTTATTCTCCACTTCTTAAAGGTCATGTATGTCTTATTTGTGTTTCGTAAATTGTTTTGTTAAAAATTATACCGTTAGTTTTTGCGATTGAATATCTATACTATTAAATGAGAAGACCTCATTCTGTGTGTCGCTACTCTCCCTTCCACAATAAACAAGAAATGATTGTAACAGGATGCTGTTACGAAGTCTCCCAAACGAAGCTCCCATAATTCGTAATTCCCAGTGTCGCCTGACATTGGACAAAGTCCAGTGAAAATTGGTTTGGTCCAGTAAAGTTAATGCATTAGTGATGCCTGGGGACTAACCCTGTATATCATTCAAATCATCTTGGCATGACAAACCAGAACATATATATGGTTTAGGGGTGGGGATCTCAACCATTTACAAGATACCAGAACATTGGGGGTGGGGGGGAACCCCTGGGGACTGACCCTATACATCATTCAAATGTTCGAGAAACGACGAACAGGAATATATATGGTCTAGGGGTGGGGATCTCGACCATTTACAAGATATTAGAACATTGGGGATGGGGGGAACCCAGTGGGGACTGACCGTATACGTCATTCAAATGTTCGAGACATGATGAACAGGAATATATATGGTTTAGGGGTGGGAATCTCGACCATTTACAAGATATTAGAACTTTCTCAAATGGCAGGAGGTCGGGATGACCCCTGGGGACTAACCCTGTATATCATTCAAACCATCTTGGTATGACAAACCAGAATATATATGGTTTAGGGGTGGGGATCTTGACCACTTACAAGATATTAGAACTTTCTTAAATAGCAGGGGTAGGGGGTGACCCCTGGGGACTAACCCTGTATATCATTCAAACCATCTTGGTATGACAAACCAGAATATATATGGTTTAGGGGTGGGGATCTTGACCACTTACAAGATATTAGAACTTTCTTAAATAGAAGGGGATGGGGGTGACCCCTGGGGACTAACCCTGTATATCATTCAAACCATCTTCGCATGACAAACCAGAATATATATGGTTTAGGGGTGAAGATCTTGACCACTTACAAGATATTAGAACTTTCTTAAATGGCAGGGGGTGGGGGTGACCCCTGGGGACTAACCCTGTATTTCATTCGATGTGCTTTATCATGACAAACCAGAATATACATGGTTTAGGGGTGGGTATCTCGACCATTTACAAGATATTAGAACTTTCTCAAATGGCAGGGGGTCGGGATGACCCCTGGGGACTAACCCTGTATATCATTCAAACCATCATAGCATGACAAACCAGAATATATATGGTTTAGGGGTGGGGATCTTAACCACTTACATTAGAACTTTCTTAAATGGCAGGGGGTGGGGGTGACCCCTGAGGACTAACCCTGTATTTCATTTGATGTGCTTTATCATGACAAACCAGAATATATATGGTTTAGGGGTGGGGATCTCGACCATTTACAAGATATAAGAACTTTCTCAAATGGCAGGGGGTCGGGATGACCCCTGGGGACTAACCCTGTATATCATTCAAACCATCTTAGCATGACAAACCAGAATATATATGGTTTAGGGGTGGGGATCTCGACCATTTACAAGATATTAAAACTTTCTCAAATGGCAGGGGGTCGGGATGACCCCTTGGGACTAACCCTGTATATCATTCAAACCATCTTAGCATGACAAACCAGAATATATATGGTTTAGGGGTGGGGATCTCGACCATTTACAAGATATTAGAACTTTCTCAAATGGCAGGGGGTCGGGATGACCCCTGGGGACTAACCCTGTATATCATTCAAACCATCTTAGCATGACAAACCAGAATATATATGGTTTAGGGGTGGGGATCTCGACCATTTACAAGATATTAGAACTTTCTCAAATGGCAGGGGGTCGAGATGACCCCTGGGGACTAACCCTGTATATCATTCAAACCATCTTAGCATGACAAACCAGAATATATATGGTTTAGGGGTGGGGATCTTGACCACTTACAAGATATTAGAACTTTCTTAAATGGCATGGGGTGGGGGTGACCCCTGGGGACTAACCCTGTATTTCATTCCATGTGCTTTATCATGACAAACCAGAATATATATGGTTTAGGGGTGGGGATCTTGACCACTTACAAGGTATTAGAATTTCTTAAATGGCAGGGGGTGGGGATGGCCCCTGGGGACTAACCCTGTATTTCATTTAATGGGTTTTATCATTTAGAACATTTTCAATTAAAAAGATTGTGTCTATCACAAACGGTTTTCAATTTATAATCTTTTGAAAATTTAAAATAATAAAATCCCATAGGGTTCTATAGTAAAACCCTCTTTTCTTTTTGCCCCTCAAAGTACCCCTTTATAAACCCCATTGCACAAACAAAACCCTGATTGCACCACTAGACATGTTAGTCTAACATATTGTGAAACCCTAAGTTAATCTGACAAGCAGTTTTGGAGAACGGGTGCGGACAAGTTCAAATTTAAAAGCGGCGGAAGAGGAAGAGGAAGAGGAAGAATAATAATAATAATAATAAGAACTGAGCAAAAACAATAAGTCTTCCCAAACTTCGTTTGGGAGACTTAATTAATCATCATGCCTCTGTGTCCTAGAGGTACCATGCATAGTCGCATTTGTCATCCTCGCTTATGATTATTCCGTTTGGGTTATTTGGGGAGGAAAACAAAAATAAAGGCGTCCGGATATTGTTTCCATCATCGGACGGACTTTTAAGTCACAGACAAGACTTCCGTTTCGGACTGTTTTAAATTACACATAATTTTTGTAGGTACTTGGGGACAGGACAATTATTTTCGCGTTGATCTGTATACTATGAACATACATATACTATAAATAAAGTGTATTTGCTATTTACTACCAATTTCAAGTTTACTATCCACGGCGGTCATTGATATATTATATAGAGAGTCTATACTTTTAAATGAGAAGACCTCATTTTGTGTGTCGCTTCTCTTCCTTCCACAATAAATTAATCATCATGCCTCTGTGTCCTAGAGATACCATGCATAGTCGCATTTGTCATCCTCGCTTATGATTACTCCGTTTGGGGTTATTTTGGGAGGAAAACGAAAATAAAGGCGTCCGGATATTGTTTCCGTCATCAGACTGACTTTTAATTCATAGACAAAACTTCCGTTTAGGACTGTTTGAAATTACAAATAATTTGTATAGGTACTTGGGGACAGGACAAATTTTTTTCGCGTTTTTTCTGTATACTATTTGCTATCTACTATCAATTCTAAAGTTACTGTCAACAGCGGTCACTGATATATTATATAGAGACTCTCTAAAAAAAAAGCAAATACACTTTATTTATAGTATATGTATGTTCATAGTATACAGAAAAACGCGAAAAAGATTGAAATTAATAATAACAAAAAATAATAGTTTTTGAAAAAAAAACTGTTCTGTCCCCATTTACCTTTGACTTTTGTAGCCTTTCCTGAAATTCTCCTGTCATAAAATGTTTTACAAAAAATCGTCCTACAACAGTTTACATACTTTCAAACACGCTCTAAATGCCCGCGATTTCGCGAGTGTGTTCTAGTCATATCTAATAGAAAGAAAAATGTGGTATGATTGCCAAAGAGACAACTCTTCACAAGAGACCATATGACCAAGAAATTAATAACTATGGGTCACCATACGGCCTTCAACAATAAGCAAAGCCCATACCACATAGTCAGTTATAAAATGGAAAACGTACAACAATTCAAACGATAATTTATGTATAAAATAATGAACGAAAAACACACAGCACAGCAACAAACGGCAACCACTGAATCAGAGGCTCCTGACTTAGAACAGGCACATACAGAATATGGCGGGGTTAAACTTGTAAGTGTGCGCCCAACCCTCCTCCTAATCCTGGGACAATGGTGCAACATAACAATACAAGAACTAACTGTACAAAACAATGATCAACATCAACAAACAACATATCTGAGCCTTTTATTGCCAAATCTATGGTTTATATAAGCAAATATAGGGCATTGTACGGCCTCCAACATTGAGTGAGAACATAATACTTCATTTAAAGTCAGCGAAAGTTTAAATAACAGTCCATTCCTGGGAAATAATGGGCGTCAGCCCTACGGGCCTCCGCTCCATTATTTCCCAGGAATGGACAGTTATTTGGACTTTCTCCATAACATAGAGTTAATGACATTCTGTCTGTGCAATATCAAGCTAACACTGTCCCAAAAAATCTAAATAAATCGGAAGTCCAAAAAACGCAATTATTTTGAATGTTCTTATTAGATAGAGAAAAACATCGACTAGAACGATTTGAGATTAATAATAATTACAAAAAAACTGATATCAAATGCAAAAGCAAAAGTCGTACTTTTTTTTAAAACTTTGTATCGCTTCTTTTTAGTAACAGTGATAAATAACAGGTTGCAGATAAATTTATTCTTTACTTCATGAGACATTTATCTAGCAGACGTTAAATTGACCCGGAAGTCACTTAAAATTTTCATCATGCCAATTGAAAGTTTTACACGTTATATTGTATTTTCTCAATTGATAGTTTTCTCATTTTTCAAATATCCTTCAATTAAAACTAAGTTGATAAATTTATGTTACTTTCTATGTACTTTATATCAAAATCAAAATCAAGAGTTGTAGTATAATTGGTAATGAGACATCTATACATAATATTTCAAAAGTGAAGTGAATGTAAGAAATTATAGGACACCATGCAGCCTTCAACAATGAGGGGGGAAATACAGTATAGTCTGTTGTAAAAATGCTCGACATGAAAAAAACTTAAAACAATCGAAACGTGAAAACTAAAAGCGTAATTTATAACAAACAATTTACTTAAATTAAATAGGACAGACATAAGTCATCGACAACCAATCAAACCGTTATGTAATAATAAAAAAAAACAATCATGTTTTCTTTTCATTTCGGGAACATTTGATAGCTTGTTTTTGCTAATTAAATGGTTGCAGGCCGTAAGTTAACTTACAGTATCGAACATTTTATTTTATTAAACATATCTTCTTGTAATTGCCCTCATAAGGAACGCTCACACAACATATATATTGAAAGTCCTGGATGTATATGAACTCAATACGAAATTTTTTGCTGAATTTCTATTTTCGCAATTATCGCTAAATAATTCGGGAATTTAAAGCGGCCCGCGTTTTATGCAGTCACCAAAAAATAGACATCCCAACATTGTTTGGTTTACAGTATATGAGAATTAATAGAAACTTTACTACACTCACGACAACAATCTGTGCGTCCATGAATATGTATCAAATTGATATCATAAACATTCTGTAGGTCGACTGCCCACCATGGCTGCTGATTATCGTTAGGTGCTGTATGTGCACACAAAAAATCGGCTCCAACCCATCCAGGCTTTTCTCCATCAACGGCTAATTCAGAGTTGCAACAATGATATCCTTCTTCTGGCTCATATATTGAGGACATTGTTGTTGGTTTGTTTAATGCAATATTGACATCTGAAAAAACTGAAATAAAAATACACACGTTAATATAACACTTATTTACTGTAATTGCTTGAAGTCTAAATCAATTTACGATACATTTCAAAAATTGTGTGTAATTGATAAAACAAATGTTGAAGACAATGAGTGTTTATTTGTTTTTTTTTTCTTCAATTTTACATTTGTACAGAACATACAATAAATGATTTAGTTTCTTTCTTTATTTTCTTCTTCTCTACATATCATTATTATCATTTTCATAATCATAATCATTATTTATAATACCTGTGATAAAGGGATAGAGATATAATTTCAAATCTAGTACCTTTGATTGTTTTACGGACGCCATTACGACTTGAAAAAACCGTTATGGAATATATGTGTCGAAGATTTCCATGGATATGTTTGATGACAGTAACACTATTTAAGCACAGTTTGATCGAAGTAAGTTATCGTTCGTTTAAATAGACCGTTGTTTAAAGTATCGAAGCCACAATTCTGTTCTCAACATTGTGACATTACCGAGTTAAACTTTATCACCTCAGAGAGGTGACCAGGATATTGACGAACGAACGTACGAAAGCGTAACTTGACGAATCGTACGAAACGGGATATGCTGTTCATAAATAGTTCATTAAAAACAAATATTAACATAAAAACGCATGTTGACGTTAAGTAATTCGCATCGTTGCTTTAAGTTTACGTGAGATATTTCCTGTCTCTGTAGCTAACTCCTCATGTTGAATTAATGATTAATAATGTAATATTATCTACAGTAGAAAAAGGTGCATTCGATATAAAAGACTCTGCTTTGACAATGAGGTTCCTAAAGGGATTTAAATGCATTACGGAGTTGATACAAGTGTGGTAGCATAGATATTGACGCTTTCTATATTGATATGATTGATGAGTTGCATACTGGTAAGGATCTAATTTTCTGAGTAAAAATGTATATAACTCTAGGAAAGTTGGACCAGATCATCCTACTCACGCGTACAGATCGACCTTAAGTACGTTTCACCTTGCTGAGTATCACATTATGGTAAATCTGATAATATCATATATATATAAGGAGAATATCATTTTGAAATTTTGATTTAAACATACTTACGGCAACTAATTTTTGTGACATGTTTCCAACTACTATGGCTTGTTCTATACTGATGTGGAAATTGGGACAAAGCTTCAGTTTTTGATAGGTACAAAATAACGTATTTGCCAGTGATTTCATGTTAACTATTTTCTACACTATATCAATAAGTATATAACTAGCCGAAATCGTTTCCTATAGGTTTATTATAGGGAGGACAGAAATACCCTATTTTCCCACGTGAGCTTAGCAAAACGGAAAGGCAATATATCAACATTCCGAAATAAAAAAAAAGTTGACGTACCATCATCTTAATAATATTTATTATCGAGCATATATCATTCGCCTTCTGGGTATTTTGTGAAGTCAATGAAATTTAAAGTACTTAAATAACTGTAACGCATTTCAACAATCGCAACAAAAAAAACATGTCAGAGGATGCCATGAGTATGTGCATACATTGTACTGGATAGGATTAAAATTTATTTAGTTGCCAGGATTTAAAGTTGTGTGTGCGTTATTAATAGACACTTGTGTCAATTTCAATGCTCTTTAAAAAAAAACGTTATTTACCCTTATGACTAGTGTTTTTTACACCTAATAAGTTTTGCCATCCTCAGAGGTTGACAAATATGATAAAGAAATATAGACCCAAATCATTATTTCTAACTGGTTCAAAATACTATATGTTTTTTTTTGTAAACTGATTGATTTGTTTGTTTGAAACTTGATTGATTAATTGATCTATTGTTGGTTGCTAAACGTCCAGTGGCAAATAGTTCATGCATGTTTAGGACGAGAACAAATTAACAATAAATACAATGTAATATAGCCTTTAGGTCGGGTAAGTTTAGATTGCCATTGCAAAACAAGGGTATATTGGATAGGGACAGAAATTTGCCACCTACGTATACGGACCCCTCACAGAATTGTTGCAAGGGTTTGACAATCTCTCTACACGAGGCATCGGATGTAACGTCCCTATTTTGTCCGGACGTAGCTGCGAACTTGTACATCCTGTTTTGCCAAACAAACGCCACACTTTGTAAAAAGGTTTTACTGGGGACCGGAAGAAGATCTGTAATGCCGATATTTCTATTCCTTAGTCACCCTTGGCGGGGTGGAGGAGGGTTGAAGCTTGAATACCCAATAAAAACATTGAACAAACATACGATCCGACAACAGTAATTTAGTAATCTTATAATTTTATAAATTGTTTCAAATCTTCCAAATCCTGCATAAATATTTGTTTGAGCATTGCGAAAGTCGTTGGTGCACTCGAAAAATCTTAAGTGGGATGTACATTTCATCATGCTTTCAACAATAATAATCACATCGTATCGTAGAAATGTTACACTTGCGGAGACTTTATAACGTCTTTCATATATATTATGAAAAACCTTTTTAACATCGGCATATTTTATGCGTTTCTGTCTGTTATCGTGATTACATGCCATCCAAATAATTACATCGTTAAGTTTAAAGTACGTTTTGTAAACAAACAATTACCGCTCCTATTACGTTCGTTCGTCAATATCCTGGTCATCTCTAATATGTATTTACCATAAGCAACACAACGGGTATCATATAAGACCTGCTTATTTCTCAAGGCATATAAAACCCCCCTATTTTGATGAGGTCTTTAAATTTCTATGAAGTATTTTGTGGCCTGTTATTTGTCGATTTCTCTTTAACTTTTGCAGTTTAATGTCCTTTTCTATGATATTGTCCATCGCATTTGTACGATTAAAAAAAAATGATATAAAATATTTTGATATTTATCTTTTTTCATTCTGATATTTTTATATCAAAATTCCGAACTGCACTGACATTTTAATTCTAAATTGTTTTGTACCACTTAAGTATAAAATATAAATAAAATCTAAATTTTCAATGACTGATAAAATGTTCAGAGCAAAAGACTGGATTTCTGGAATAATTATCATTTGGTATGCTCTGGACATTGCGATAGACCAGGCCATTGAACAGTCTTTCATGGCAATAAGAAAACATTTGAACGAAAAGCAATTTGTCCTTTAATTCCAAAAATAGTAAGTGTTTTATTCTAAATTATTCTATTTTATTTACAATTCTAATTTTTCCAAATCCTAAGGATGTTCTGCCCCAGGAATAGACTACTTTATCTGTATTCATTATCGTTAGTGTTTGATTTGTTTCATTTACAAATACATAGTAGCTGTACTTGTGCATTTTTAATCAGTCAATTCGTAAGTCGAAAAAAAAACTGACAACTTCATGGCTTAAAAGGAAAAAGACTAACAGAAAAACAGACAAACAACTGCACACATAACTCAACATAGAAAACTAAAGACTGAGCAACACGAACCCTGTCATACACTGGGAGTGATCTGGAAGGGTTAGCAAGTCCTGTTCCACATTTGGCACCCATCGTGTACGTACTCGGTAGGTCAAATTCGAGGAATGGGGGTAGTTATTGTTATACGTCTATAGTTCGATATTATCATAGATGAGATATTTATATCTAAGATCAGTAAAATATATACATGTAATACTTATATTTGGTTCCAAATGATATAAAAGTTTTAATTTGAAAGACATAGCTTAAAGTTATAAAAAAGTCATTAAAATAATACATTACCACAAGAAATTAATATATTAGATAATCCTACAACACATTTATACAGCATTTTCACTTGGTACCTTCACTACATATTCTAAACATATATTTAAATGAATCAACAAAATCTATGTTCAATTTTTACTTTCAGTTGCTTATTATGATAAATTGCCAATGACGAAATTTATGAAAGAAATAGATTTAAATGGAATAAATAGGATTTCCTTTTTAATTTTCCAATTGAATGAAATAGATAAATAATTAATCATTCTTCTAAGGTCAACTTTCGCGGAGGAAACTGGAGTCTCCGTTTCTTAGTAATTTCTGAACTTATCGAAGGAGAACTTTTAATTTGTACGTCATACATCATATAGTGCCCAATCACTCACTTCTACTAAGCTGACGATACCCTCAGGGAGTTTCAATGTAGCAGTAGTGGTATCGACCGTATGTTAGTAAAATTAAATAACACTTTATCAATTTTGTGCAACCAACGCGCTTTTGTCTTCAATCAGGTAAAAGAGAACATTGTCTACGAAATGTCTGGTTTGTGAATAAGTTGTCAAAACAGAGACATACAATGTTTTACCGATTGACAGGTACACTACAATTTTGACGTGTTTGAATGAACACAACGGTGTTAATAATGGAGCTGACGTTGCGACTCCGCCATTATCTTTCGACGTTTTTGTTTTATATCTAAAGTAGCACTCCACTTACATAGGTGTGTAGTTTCGCATTTTGGCCCATATGGATTTTTCAAATATGAAAGCTATTGTGCAATAACATTTATTTTTGGATAGCTGAAGATTAATATAGTCTTCATCGTGGGTTTATTTGATCATTAAAATTGTGTAATTCATGTATTATGGGTTTTTTTCAGTATGACCATCCACATTTTTATAACTATACCAGCTATTGGTCGAGACATAATTGTCATGTTTTTCCAAATTTTTGTCGAACGAACTTAATGATTCAATTTTACCAAAATAAATGAGACGAAAGACATCCAATTTTCCTTTGATCGTTTTGGTAAATTAATTTCAATAGTTTCAGAAAAGGTATAACTCATAGGGATAGAAATTCTAGTTTGAACCAAATTTTGGGATAATATGTGACATTTTCATGCCCCTTTTTGCAACATTTGATAATAAAAAAAATGCTGAAAATTGCCAAGAGTACACAAAAAAGAATTTATACTTCACCATTTTAACTTTTGTAAATCTAAATCTATGGAAGATACTGATTACATACATATGAACATTTACATGATGTATGACACAAACATCGGGCGTAATGTATTAGAAAGCCAGGAATAGAAGATGGTTAAACAAT